TCTAACTCCCTGGTATCCTGACCCGGCCTGACTTTAGTTCCTGCCTTATGGTTCTAACCTCCAGTTTGTCTCCTACCTCAGATCTTATGGTATTCTGACCCAGCTAACTCCTGTCTCACGACTGTGGACTCTGGCTCTGACTACTAGGTCTGGCGGCGCATGACCTGGCTGTGACAATACCAAAGGAAAAGGGAGGATAATACACATCTGCCTTTCCAAATCCCTCAACTTTGGGGAATTTTATATTCCTGATAGCAATATAACAGCAGACTCCTGTTTAATATATGAATTTAGTGAGTATCTGTCCTCGTTCTTTAATTAAAACTAATAAAAGTTTTATACCAAAAACAACAACAACAACAACAACAACAACCAGGAACAGAGATTCAACAAACTCTGTGGGGCACCTGGAAACATCATTTAGTTTGGCCTACCTGATAGTATAGTTAGATGGACAAATTATGAGTAATGTTTCAAGCACAAAATGTCTCATTTGTGAACTCTTACCTCATTTATGTGAACATTTAATCTCTTACTTCCTACTGAATGTTGAAAACCGTAAAAACCTGTTTCTTCACTATTAAATTGGTTAAATGAAGTACTATACATTCCCTTCTTTCCATTTTAATTGCATTATTAGATCTTGAGGAAAGCTACTAAACAAGAAGAAATGGGCAAAAGCGGAATAATTTTAAACCAAAAAATTAAAAGTCAAAATTTAAATAGTTTATCTAGTTTATTTAACCACGAGTCTGAAAATGGTGCAGTGTTCACCCTGCATGTGAGCTACAGTGCAATATGTAGTTTACAGCCTTATTTCATAAACTTGGGTCTCAAGCCTGCATACATGCACACGTGTGTAGTACATCTCTATCCCGATATAACACGACCCGATATAACACGAATTCTGATATAACGCAGTAAAGCAGTGCTCCGGGAGGGGCGAGGTTGCGCACTCTGGCTGATCAAAGCAAGTTCAATATAACACGGTTTCACCTATAACGCGGTAAGATTTTTTGGCTCCCGAGGACAGCGTTATATCGGGGTAGAGGTGTACCAGTAAAATCATCTGGACAACTCACATGCACTAAGTTAAGTATGTGCATAGGTGTTTGCAGGATTGACTGAGGCCTTAGTACTTTCACAAACTAAGGGACCAATAGACACTTCTACATATTAGTACGTTTACTTGTGAGCAGTGTTATTGACTTCAAAGGAATAACTAACGTGCATAAAGTTGCTTTTGTATGCGTTTGCAGATGAGGCCCTGCATAAATTTATAATTGATGCAGGCTAACCAAAAAGATGAATATGTGTTTTAACTGTAGTTACTTGTATGACTTATTTTAAAGCAGAAATTGAAAGATTAGAAATTCCTCCAAATACTTAACCACCACAATAGTTTTGTCACACAATATTTCTGTGCCATTTGTTTTAAAAAGAGGCAAAATGCTGCAAAATGACCTTTGTCACTAGAACCTAACTTTAACATAACAACTTTAAACATCAAACATAATGACAGTTTGATTTTGTAACACTGTCAAATATTATGGTTTTTCAATAACTTGCTAATTTGAAGGATGTCACTACTCCGTTACAAAACAAAAACAAAAATAATAGTTTAAATCCCAAAACCTACAAAGCGAATCAATCCAACCAGACCCTTACACCCATCTGGAGTCCCAATGGGGCTTCGCACAGGCATAAAGGTCTAGATAGGCAGATTATTTTGTAGAATCAGAGCCTCAACTCTGTTTCAGTGGGTCTCTGAGCCACACACAGCTCACCGCTGGACAGGGATAGAAGTTATCAATTACATCTTGTAACTCTTCATATATGAGCTCCACTGATGTTTTTTAAAATAACCAGATAATTTCTTGGTCCCCATATATTTCACTAAAAATAAATATATCATTGTCCATCCTTATACTTTATGTCCTACAGAAGTCACACTATACCCTCCAATCCCCAGTTAGGAGCTTTGTGGTGGACTATTTAGACAGTTGCAGTTAGTATATTGATCAATGTAACTATACTTAATACTATGGAAAAATAAATGTTAACCATTGCTTCACAGAAAATATTTTCTTTTTCTTTAACTGGGTTCTACCTATCTTATACTTTTTTAGCATAAATTAACCATTTGTAAAAACACTTTTATAACAGAGATCAACTTCTACATACCTGTTTATCAAATGCTACCCATGAAGGAGCATCACTTCCCACACCTCTAGGAAACACACTATATTTAGGTTTCAGCTTTTGTCCATGCAAAGGTTCACCTCCTATTCCAGGTTTATCTTCTGCCACCAACATAGCAATTTTATTGCAGTAACCCCAATGCTGAGACTTATGGAACTTTTCTTTCCCTAGCTGTAAACAGATTGGAAAAAAGAGAATAAGGCATTGCTAAATAATCATAAAAAGATGTATTTAAATCAACAGCTTAAAAACTTCCCTCAAATTAATTTTAACATAAATGGAAATTCTAAAAATATATCATAACCAGAATGCTGCCAGTCGAGTGAACCAATCCATCTGGTCAATTCTCAATGCCCATCTTACAAATAGGGATATTTGTGTTGTTTGTATCCTTGACATACTTGAGCGCACACACACAAACTTTTATGGTATAAATGTAGGACATAGTTTAGTGAGGGGATTTGGGGAGAGGGGGAATTGTGCTCATCTGTGGAACCAACTCCTTGTTCCGTCCAACTGTTGGACAAAAATTACTCCACTGGTCCTCCCTCATCTTCTTGTGTGCAGTTGCCCCTATGCCTGTAGAAGGGTGAATAGATGTCTCCTTTCCATTCTGTCCCTGCCTCTGGCAATAGGAATGTACGCCCATATGTTCAGTGAGAAGTGAAGTGTTGTTTAAGAGTATAAGGAGCATGTTTATGGTCAAGGAATGAAAGCAACTAAAGAAGTACTACTTTATAACACAGTGCATCTTCCTCTGATGCATCTGATGCTGGTTACCTTCACAGATGGGACACTAGATCGGGTAAACCACAGGTCTGATCCAGTGTGACAATTTATTTGTAAAAGGTTTGGGGTTGGGGGGTTCCTACTTTTGTTCTCCGTCTTTTTTTTCTGATGCTGGTTAACTGCTCTCTTGTTCCGTTTCCTTATTTTATTACCTTAGCAGCTCCTCACCAACCTGGGAAAGGTGGTGTGGAGGATACAGAGCAGGAGAAAACTTCCTATATTTGAGTTCAAATGGGAAATAAATATAATAAAGCTGAATTTAAAGAGAGAAATTTGCAGGCAGAAATGGCTGATTTATACCAAAGGGTTCTACAGAATAGCACCAGTTTTGACACATCTAATATTTCTTATTTTTTCCCCATCTATTACTGAAGCAATAGCTAGGGAGAAAAAGGCAGTTGACAAAAGCGTGGCCAATAAGTGAAGGAAGTATTTTATCTAGGTAAAGGAAAACAGCTCTCAGAACCAGGTGTTGTGTATCTCAAGCCTGTCCTGAGACAGCTTTCCTGTTGTTCTGTCTGGTTTTTATTTTGGTTAGTTGTGTCTTAAATTGTTAAGTTAAGTGATCAAGATTTGCTCCCATAGGAATTCTTCCGGAAATGTAACTTTTTATATGAAAACCAAATGGCCCAATAATTAAATTCCATCAAGAATCTTCCACTATCTGCTGCAAAATCGTAGAGGGTTCTACATAAAGAACACTTAAAAATGGTTATATGCAGAATCATTATTAGGAGCAAACTAACCTTAAAAGGTTCTGCGAACAATAAACTTTTCAAACAGTGTGTATGTGCCAGCAAGTTCCTTTAAGTAAGAAAGGAAGAAAAGAACAAAGATCTCTTTACACATATAGTTTGTTGGTTGCTTTGACCAAACACTGGAAGTGAATACCTATGGTGTACACTGTGGCAATGACGTCACTCTGACATTCAGGTTCTCTCTGGAAATAATGGATGACCAAGAAACTGAGGGATGAGCAAAGCAACAGAAGTTGCCACAATATCTATTGGCAATTTCTCTCACCATGTTAGACCTTACAGCTATAACAAAGAAGCCAAATTTAAGTTGACCATTTTCTAGCCATGTACCATCCAAAACTTCCTGCAGACTATCCACTATGTTTAGGGATGTGTGGTATTTGTTGGGGAGAATCACATGAAGAAACAGTGATGCACTAGTTCTGGTGGCACTGACTGGAGATTACAGTGTTGCCAACGCTTGTCTCACGATGACGTGAGAAGCTGCAGCCCCCTTGTGAAGTTCAGCCCTACAGGAAGCCAGCAGGGTCTCACCCCTCCACTCGCTGGACTCTCAGGAGGGGTGAAGGAAGGAGGGAACAAAGAGCCTAGCAGCTCAATGCTGCTCCTCTCCCTCCTCCCACTGTGAGAAACACAGACAGGACAGCGCCTCTGATCCTCCCCCTCCCCCTGCAGCACCCAGCTTGGGAAGGGGAAGAGGGGTGGGAAGAGTCCCTGGACCTGCCCCAACAGCCTGGAAGGGAGAGAGGGTCCCCACCCCGCAGGCCTGGAAAAGAGGGATGAAGAGAAGGACCAGAGGTGAGGCTGGGGGGGACAGGATTAATCGCTGGGTACGGGATATGCAGATGTGGAGGTGAGAGCTCCTGCAGCAGGGGCCAAAATCCCCTTACCCAGTACATGTGGGAGAGTGGGCAGCACTAATTGTCACACAGACACGCTGGAGATGGGCAGGGGGTGCTCAAAAATCAAGACAGTCCAAAATGCCCCTTACACAATGTAATCTTTTTTTTTTAATTTCATGATGGTGGGGGGAACTTTTGATCTCTTGAGGTTGGCAACATTCGGCATCGTTGAGGGTAATTCCAGTAAGCTGTTGAAGTCAGAGGTGCATGCATGGAATTTCAGCTGCTCCAAACATTAGTGGCACAGAAGATGAGACCTTCCTCCACAGTCACCTTCTTCTGAGGTCTGTAAACTCACTTTCAGATCTTCTGAGAAGTACCAGGCAGAACTGTTTGAGAAAAGGTGCATCTCAACAGGATCTCAAACTTTTGGAACAAAAATTCATTGGTCAGCTAAAAGCCAGCATTCTCTCCCTCACCCCACTAATTTAAAAGGGCTGCATGTCCACTGTCATCATCTCAGCTGTGTGATCTGCTGCATGGTGGGGTGAGAGGAACTGTGCTTGATCTTGGTATTAAAGAACTGCATGATTGGAACAATAATAGGCATTCATGTTGCTACTACCGATTTAGGTTGCGGATGGTTTTTTTTTGCCCTTAGCCCCAGTGGAGAAGAGAACAGAGAATACAAGTGATGGTACTGCTACCTTGAGCGGAGGCAGATGGGACAGTACCAATAGCAGGAGAGTAGGATGACAGAGAAGGAAGAGGGAGATAGTGCCAGGCATGCCACCGCACCTCTTTCCTTACCCATTCTGGACTCGAAACAGCTTGTGCATTCTTTTTGCTGTACTTGGGCATACCTCTCATGCTCTGAATTGGGACATCCATTACAGAGATGATTCAACAGATGGATCATAGTTGTCAGGCTTCACAAGTTTCTGTCCCAGCAAACAACATTCCTAAAGCGTGTGTGGCACTGACTATATGAAGCTCAAAATGCTGCCATTCTACATGGATTAAAAATCAACCACCACATTAACAATAGCAATGCTAGTTGGCCTTTGAGACTTCCTGCTCCTGAAGCTGTGCTTGCTTGTCCTGTTGCTATAACTACTACTAAGACACCATTGGTTCTTAATTAATCCTGGCCTCCTTAGTAGGATCAGGAAAATGGAATTGCACAATATATTTTCCCCTGTTTTTCAATGGGGTATGATAAGTGCCTTAAAAGAAAAAGGAGAAGAAGGAGGGGGCAGGGAGAAAAGTTCCTCCCTTTTCCCTTTGCAAGCAGTAAATTTTTCAAGCTTCCGATGCCTCCTGATCCATTTCTACCAGAAATCATCCTACTCTCTGCAGCAACTGGAACATCAAAACTTGCACTGTTTCTATTAGTTCTGCTGTTTCATCCGGTGAAAAGGGGGCATTAGGATACAGTAAAATCTATCTTTAGGTATTTATAAAGTGTATAGATATATAATCCTTGAGTCTAATTAACTGGGATGCCCAAATAGTTAGACATTGGTCCCAATTAAGTAGAATGGCCACTAACAGAATAAGCCATTTCAGTAGTAATACTGTTTTCCAGGAAGTTGCCAAGTTGGGAGGAGGCACTATGTACAGTAGGACAGACAGAGACAGACTGCTACCTACCAAGTGCCAGCAACGGGGGCAGCTGCGAGATGTCCATTTTAGCAGTCTATTGTGTACAGTTGATATGGAAAGAGGAAACAAGCAGAGATTAAACCTTTCTGGATGTAGCATAGCTAAGGAGGGACTGAATGCTGCTGGTAGATAAATGTTGACAAATACAGAACCAGAATGAGACTGAGACATACACAAAGACCTAAGCATCATGAAATCATTTTACAAGCCCCAATTTTAACAAAATCATCATCTCCACTAAGCTAGAATAACTGCCATAAAATTATCACAAAGTTCAACCAGTACCCCTGAGAGACATCCCAGTTAGGCAAATTTCCTGATTAGGCATGTACAAATCAAATAAAATGGGTACTTTCACCTCTCCAACCACACTTCTTCTTGCCCTTCACATAGGCATAGTAACTGACAGATCGGTAGCAGTGGGAACAGAAAAGAATGGTTGTTGTAGTAGTGTTTACAACAGCAACAAGAAGCGCAATGATGGAATTAACAGCAGGGGGGAAAATAAGCCAAGAGCTAACAGGAGTAGCAACGACAAGGCCACTAATCCTTCTTGCTTTGTAGGTGCTATTGCTGGAACTAGATTTCTCCACAAAAGATGAGACACTGGTGGCAGTGCTCCTAGTGGTAACCAATGTGGCTTTTGTTTTTTCCAGTATATAAAAGCAGTGACCTCCACAAACATCCAGAACACTGCTGCTGCTGCTCTGCACCTGTTGTTCTCATGGTGAAGATAAGAGAATGGAAGGCAGCTGTGGCAAGAATGGTCCAAACCTTTTTGTTAGTCTGCATATAGTATATAAAAGTATATAAAAGCAGCAACCTCCACAAACATGCCTCCCAGCAAAACTGGACATCACTGCTACACTACAGCAAGCATCGCAATGGAAGACCACCTTGGTGCTATGAGCATGGTACAGTCCGGCTCTGTTGTGTTCTGTACTGTCTTGTACTAACTGTGACTTAATTTTTGAAAATGGTGTCTATAATTAGCTCTCTCTGGACTATATATATGTGTGCATGTATACATGTATATATAATTCAGTAACTTCTAACCATATGTATATATTATATTCACACAAACACGATATATATATATATTTTCTACTATAAGCAAGTCATATATATATATATATATATATATATTTATTTATTTTCCTTATCTGGACCTCTAGTATATAAAGCCAAGTATTGTATCTAATCTGTGATAAAGTAGAACCTTCATGGTTCTCAAAGTCTGTTCAAAACTTCACAGAAGCAATAGAGACAACTCCTAACATTTCTCCCCCCAAAACAGAGATCTCTACCGATTAAGCTAAAAGGAGCTCCTCTGTTAGAAAGAAGATATAGCACACAATTGAGCA